AGCGGGAAGTGGGAAGCGACGGCGGCGGCCCGCAGGGGGCTCCGGCGGCCTCTGAGAGCGGCGTTTCTTCTTAAGCGGCGAAGAGGGAGGCGGCGCGGGAGCGGATTTTGCTGCCAGAAGTCGTGCCCGCAGGCTCTCACAGAAGTCGCATCCTCCATCCGCGAGGGCGAGTTCTACGTGCTCGAGTCCCAGGCAGAGAGCGCAGATGACATGGCGGTCTCCGTCCTCGAGACGAGCGCGGCAAGAGCCGCAGGAAAAACGAGACATCTTTAAAAAGACGCTCGGCTCTTTTAGATATATATAGAGAAAAGAGAAGGATACAGTCGTCGGATGGCGCTAGCTTGCAGGGCGGCTGAAGGTGGCGAAGACGGCTGGCTTCTTCAGGGTCCGGGAGCTCGCTAGAGTGATGCCTTCTCGACGGCGACGGCTTTTCTCAGGACAGCAGAAGCGTGCAGCTTGCTGAAGATGAAATGAATCAACATATAAGCCTGGGTGAGACTGTTATATACACCATAGCCACGCCCATTCTGGCGGGCCATGACGCAATGAGCGCGCGGGCGCCTCTCATTGGAAGCGGGTTCAGCCCCGCTCTCCCATAGGCTTAAGCAGTTCTCTCTGAGCGAACCAATGAGCTGCTAGCTAGCCTGCTCTAGGTCTGCCGCAGAGGAACTGCGTTGTCAATGGATACAAATTATGAAATAATTTTTTGGCTTCAATATCTCAGCAAAGATGAATCTTTCCCGCAGCGTAAGCTAGCTTACGCAACACGAGAGAACCTCTCGTAAGAGAACTAACTTTGTTGATCTTATTCTGTCTCACCCCTTACGGGACTGAGACTTGTAGCTATATATCTGTTAGCGTCTCACCAGACGGGAGAATGAAAATTTGAATGTATCTGTTGCTGCCTCCCTGTAATAGGCACAGAGGCTCAGAACAAAGAGTGTCTGTTGAATTTATCCCTTTCTGATGAGGAGATTGCTATTTGGTGCTTCTCCTTTCCAGTAATGCGATTGGCTGCTGGCATCAGAGGGGGCACACAATGTGGCCCATCCTTCTTTCTCCTCTGGAACTCATTTGCATATTCAAAAGCACTAATACAGTAAATTTTCATTTTAATCAACCCTTATGAAAAATAAGTATACTTTAAAAGTGTATTTTTATGTATAAATGTATAGCCTAAGTATGCTAATATCAATGTAGGCTACTGTATAGGCTACTGATAGTTTGCGGGTCAAATACTTGTCGACCTTTCATTTGATGACGTTAGGCACTTTTGAATAATAAATACATAGATGCCCGATTGGCCGCTTTGGAACGTTACTGGGATACGTCAACGCGTCCGCCATATTGCCGAGTGCAAGACTGCGCTGTAAACAAATGCAAGTAAACTGGTGAGCTGTGTTTTTTCTGGATAAAAACAAAAATAACGTTTACATTTATCAACCGATAAATGTGGTTTGTACGTGGTGTACAAAAAGTTCCATCTCTAACGTTAGTTATTTAAAAGGAATTGTCAAAGCTCAGGCTTGTCATGTTGGCTTTTTATTCTTGGATAAGAATTGAGAAGACCCCCATACTGAGATATAATTTAATTTTCACATTAAATTAAATAAAGTTATCTTATAGTTAAAAAAGCATTTTCTGTCTTTACCCGATTTTAGCTTTTCTTGTGCTTAGAATTGACCGTCATTGAGAAAATGAAACAAATCGGCGAATACAAATCACACCGGCAGGCTGCTTTCTGTATTTTTATAGCAATAAAATTATAGATATTTACAGATAGATACTCCAAATATACAATAACGAAGATAACTGATAGATCGTTTATGGTAGGCCCTAGCCTACATATGATATGGTAGGCTATGCAAACAGAGCTAAATACGATAAAGTGAGAAGTAGCCTAATAGTAAATAGTTTAGTGAGTAAAATAAACAAACAGTATACAGCAAATATAATAGAAATGAATATTATATTGATAATAGCATATAGTATAATAATATAATAATAGCAATAGAATATGAAATATCAATTACATAATATAGACAAAAAATAATAATAAGTTAAATAGTGACTATTGAATAGTACAATAAGAACTTGCATACACCTGGAGCCAACTGGAGAGAAAAGCCCAAGACAGGGATGCCTGGAGAGCTCTTGTTGGCGGCCTATGCCCCAGGAGGGGTAGCAGGCATAAGTAAGTAAGTAAGAATAGTACAATAATTAACAGCATAACTATAATAGATTGATAATCGCAAGTGGTATAATAGTATAATAACAAAAATAATAATAGAAAATACAATGTAATATCAATTGCAGAATAATATAGGCCGAGACAATAGCCTCATAAAAATAGTAAATTAAATAGTACCAAATACAACCAGAAACAAATGTTCAGTCTTACTTGTGAAAGGTAATTCACCGAGACCTGTTTTCAATTGTGCGGTGATTTGTAAAGCCACAAACAGCACACGAAGCAGGCATTTTTATCAATTCCCGTTATGACAATTATGGGAAAGTTGACCTCTGCAATATGGCGGCGCCGTTGACGTACGATCCAGCAGCCAGTAGGGCGTCTATATATTTATTATGTCTATGGTTTTGAATGTATATGCTGTTTAATGTTTGATAATTGCGTAATTTTACATTTGCGCAAGCAATCTTCTATCAGTTGTTTCTGCTGCTTCTTCGCCTGTGTTTTGATCCGGAGATTCTGTACTATTTCAGAAGATGCGTAATAGCGCATGGACAGTGAAAACATGGACAGCCTAAAATAGAAAAATGGACTAGACTACACAAAAATTCAGATACTCAGAATTAGGAACATATCTGTTTTCTTTATAAATCAACATTTTCAAACAATATAAGTTTATAAGACTATGTAAAACTATGTGAAAAATGTATTAATAGGCTACTCAATCTCAAAAAGAGTAAACACACAAGCAAAGTATACTTATAATACTTAATAATACTCGATCTAAGTAGATCTCGATCAAAAGATTGACTTCAAGTATATAGGCCAAATATACTTAGACTTTTCTGTCAGTGTAAGTTACGTATACATAAAATGTAGACTGAAAGTATAGGCTATACTTTCTTATTTTTTAGTTTAAAAGACGTGTACTAATAGCACACATGAATAAACTTATTTTTCGTAAGGTAATGCATTTCTCACTTTCCAAACCATACATGCTGTTATAAAAAAGACAAATCAAACATATCAAAGACAAGTTAGGAATTGTTTTTATATGTATCATTGGTATCCACAAAGAGTGATTGAATGTCGCACAATTCTGACAAATTCAATGATGTCACGTCTGTAATGTCTTCAATGGTTTCTTCAATGGTAGTGCTGCAGGCCTTGGTTGGTATTTCCCAATAATTAGACCATTTCTAGCTGCAATCTGAAGCAAATGATACATCTTTTTGACTGGTTATTTTGACTAATGATGATGATGAAACAACATTTGGACACGACTTTAAATTATTGTCTTAGATTTTTATATTTTGTCACGTTGCAACCATTTGTGTTGCAGTCAGCAGCCCTGCACCCCTAGCTAATTTAGTGTTAGGTTAAAAATGTTTAAAAATACTAATGTAACAATAACAAGCGTGAATGTAGCAAAATGTTAAAGAGCTTCCAAGAAAATCATCTTACTAGATACATGCAAATACATTTTTGTAAAGCTTATAAGCAGGAAGTATTGAAAGACAGGAAGTATCTAATGCTTACCATATACAAATGAAATAAAGCTGGTGTCTTTCTGAATGTGTTGTGTATGTATTGAATTACTTATCGGCCTATCATATCATTTAGAAATGTACCGGCACTTAAAGGAAACAGAATGGTTAGTACAAAATTTTATGTAGAACATGTATGCATGCTTATATTTTAGCAAAATAGAGTGAGATGTGGATCATGACAAGATTTGTTGATTTTGACCAAATTATGCTCAATGCATTCAATCATCAATAAATTTAAAACCCCAAATTCTTTGATACCCGGCTCTATATATGTATGTATATGCATTGATCGGTAACATGCTGTTAGATGTATGACCTGTTTTGGTTTTGTTTTATTGTGTTTTGGTTCTGTTTTCCCTATTCCTTTTTGACTGTGTGCCCTATAGCTGTGATTGTAAGCTGACCTATAGTATAGTTTTTCTTGTGTGTGTCAGTTTGTTCCCTTAGTTAGGGGCTGTTTACACCACCCTTTTCAACTAAAAACTTTTTATGCATTTTGGCCATTCATTTACACAACAACAGCGTTTTGGGAGCCTGAAAATGCAAACTTTTGAAAACGGTTTCAAAGTGCAAGCTTTTGATAACGATACAATTATTCTCTGCGTAAACAACAAAAACGTGAATTTGTGAAGACGGTGACGTCATGCTCATGCTTATTACATGTTCAGTCTATAGGCACAAACAACATTGTTGTTTAAACGTAGCTACCCTTAGTTACTGATTATTGCCACCCATGTCTAACGGAGCTCTCTTTTCTCCTGTGTATTTATAATCCTGGTTATGTTCAGTTCTACCAGAATGACTCGGGAGATAAATTGAATAGCTATATACATTTATTGACAGCTCAGCAAGCATAAATTTATGAGTTCTTTGGCGTAGGCCCCGTCCTTAGCGAGCAAAGCGAGGTTAGCCGAATCTGCATGTCCCGCCTGAGATGAAGGCGGGGGCGCAGCCGACCCCCTGGAGGTAAGGAAGGGACCATATTGGTGGTGGTGATGGGAAGGTACCGTCTTGGTGGTGGTTGGGGAGGATGGAGGTGAATGGCAGCGTCAGCATCTGCGAACTCAGACAAGTGTAAGTAGCAATCTTATATACTGTGACTGTTAACACCTGATTGGATAGGGATGAGGTAATACATGGCGCGCTGATTGAGTCTTCCTGACAGAACCTAAGCAAAAAGCTTCCATTTCTCTGTGGTTGTCGTTAATGTAATGTAATCTTGTGAGTGCTACCTGCATACATGACACATGCACAAAAGATAAGATAAAAACAGTAAAGATTTAATAGTTATCAAAGAATTCTGCAAAATCATTAAGCAAAATGGCATTTTAATATACAAAACTTTGGTAGAACCTGTTTGCATTAAATTGTTCTTGACCTTTCAGCTGTGTTACTTATACATTCCTGAACAACATGCAACAGACAAACAATTGTAAAACTTGTTAATGTTCAGTCTTTTCTATAGTCCAGTCAGACTTGGAAGAGAATAAAGAGAAATATCGTTTGTCCAAGAATTGTTTTTTAAAATTTCAGACAGCAGTGGAAAGTCTGTTATCCACAGAATTGGTAATGGAAGTTCTTTGGAAAGCGCTTCGGGTCTCCTCATCAATGGCGCTCTCAATCTTTGACAGAAAGGAATAGCATTTCTTCTTCAAATCCTTGGCCATAAATGCATAGAGGAATGGGTTTATAAAGCTGTTTGCAGTGGCAAGAGTTGCAGATAATTGTTGGGCCGCGTGAAAGATGGCATCGTGTGGAGCATTTTTAGATTTGTTCAACTCTATAATAGATATAATGTGAAATGGCAACCAACAGATGAAAAAAGTTGTAATCAGTAATGTCATGATCTTGTAGGGCTTGGTGGATTTGGACATTTGGTTTGCTCTAAGTTTACAGATCAGGATGGAGTAACAGGTGGAAATGGTCAGGAACGGAATTAAAAAGCCAAAAGTAAAACGCATGAACACGACGGTTCTGTGGTGATCCTCATAGTTGCTATAACATATGACTGTTGATGTTTGATTTGTATTGATTTCTCTGAATTTGGCAGATGGAATGCTAAGCAAAGCAGACATGAACCAAGCCATCACAACAACTAAAGAAGCTTTCTTTGCAGTGCGTTGATTTTGGGCCCAGACAGGAAACTTGACTGTGATGCAGCGATCCACACTAATGATGACCAGGATGAAAATGCTGCTGTACATATTGAGGGTCATGACAAAAGAGTTGAACTTGCACATGAAGAGCCCAAAAATCCAGCTGGCAGTAACTATAGAGCTCATGAGGAAAGGCAGAGTAGCGCAGAAAATGAAGTCAGACAAAGCCAGGCTCAGGTACCAGGTGGTGTTCACAGACTTCTTCATCTTAAAACCAGTAATCCAGATCACAGCACCATTTCCAATGATGCCAAGCAGGAATATGATCACATTAAAAATAACTGTGATTACACATCCTGCTTCCCTGCAGTTTCCAGCATGTAAATTCACAGAAACTGTATTTTCTTTTGAGTAATTTGTAAACTCTTCCAAAGTAGCACTGTAGTCATGATCTGGTTCAGTTGAATCCATTATGCCTTGTTAGAACTGAATAGGAAGTAGAATTCTGTAATGAGAACAACATGCAATTTATCCAAATATATTTAAAGTAAAGCTATTTTGCATGTTTCTAAAAATGAATGCAGTTGCTGAGCAAAAACACCATGACACTTGATTTGCAATTAACTGCCTTTCCCATAATTTCCATCAGGTTGGGGGATATTAAAGAGACTTATTTTTTTTAATCAGTCCTTTTCTGACAGGCAAAACTGGCAGGCCAATAAAAAGCACAACACCTCCAGAATTCTCCCATCACTTCCCTTATTTTTTTTCATGTACTCTTTTGTTCACTTTTCTGTTTATCCTTGTGACTTTAAATTACCTCCGAAGGGTTATTTGTATGAAGGAAATTGCTTAATTTGTTACTTAAAAAAGCTATTTCAGTGTTTAAACCACACAGAACCACAATTTACACAGGAGGCATGTTATTCACATTTGAATTTTAAATGCAACTGACTCACTTTGAAACTTCAACATGTAAAAATTATGACTGACCAGTATAAGTGAGAAGGATGTAATGTTTCTTTTTTTGTATCATATCTGATATCTACAACCTGCAAAGATGTTTGCAATCCTGAATTTTTTAAGTATCTTAGTTGATTCTGTTACAGCATAGAATTAGTCACATGCATCTTAATTCCTTCACGGCTCTCTGTCTTCAGAATGGTACAGAAAACAAGTGTTCATTGCATGATCAAATACAGATAGTGAAGTGTATCTTATTTATCTTTGATGCACTGGCTCATATGCCAAAAAATAACTTACCTCACAAAGAAAGTCTCACAATGCCGTTTACAATGCTTCAGATATGTACTTCTGCTGCTGGGTTGATTTCTAATCTGATAAGTGCAGACTGAGCTACTGGCCAAATATCTTAACACCTAGTTCCTCTGTAAGATGCAAAACATTTTCTGAGAACTGAGACTGTTGACGGCCACACCAGTACCCTATTCGAAGCGGCTCTGATCATCTGATAGTTAAAGACAGGCTGGTTTGAGGTTAAAACCCGCGAATGTAGCACCATTTCAGTGAACAGACCAACACGAGACAAACATTGCCGCCTTTAACATTGTGGGAGGATGCTGAAGTTGGGTATGTTGTGAAGCTCAAATGACAATAATTGCAGTTAAACAAGAGTGTTTATTAGTCACAGAAAAGTTCAGTTAAGTCAATATACAACTGGTTATAAAGATTAAAGAATCAATGTATTCCTTACATCAGGAATCCATTTGCATTGTGCATGATGATGGTTTAATTTACTTACTAATTCACTGAAAATTAGGACTGTAAATCACTTAAATAATTAACTGCAAAGCCTCAAATGAAGCTAATTCAAAGACATTAATGAATACATTATAAAATACATTATTGTGGTAAACATGTAAATCATTATATATATATATATATATATATATATATGTAAAGTGGCGTCAGAAGTCAGTATATTGTTTATTTCCATGTAATGTACAACAATAGGCATATGACTGGCCTAAAATCATGTTGGTCTGTCCTTATGCTTCATTCACACAGGAAGGGTTATTACATTTCGTCTATACACGTGACTTTGGTCAGATATTTTTTGTTGTTGCAGCACATTTTAAGATGAAGTGTCAAGTTAAAAGCAGTTGGTAAAAACGCCAGATCTTGAAATCATTCCAAATTTCATTTCATTTTCGTTTCATTACCCATGTTGATTTTTCACAGATGTTTTAGCTGTATTCAAAATTATGCATTGCATTATGTTTTGTTTTTAGGGTTAAATCATCTCTCAGGACCTGAAGTGTGACAATCACATTGACTCCATATAGTGAAAAAAAAAGCCCAGTAGAGGTTGTACTTCCTTTGCCAGCTGAGGAAGTTCAACTTGCTCACAGTCGCTGCTGATGCAGTTCTACTCAGCCGTCATTGTGTCTGTCCTCTGCACTTCAATAACTGTCTGGTTTATCTCAGCTACAAAATCCGACATAAGAAGACTACAGAGCACTGTTCGGACAGCTGAGAGGTTTATTGGTGCTCCTCTGCCCACCCTCCAAGAACTGTATACATGAGGAAAAGGGTCAGAAAATCACCCTGGATCCCTCACATCCAAGCCACATTCTCTTTGAACCTTTGCCTTCTGACCAGCGCTACAGAGCACCGAGCACCAGAACAACCAGACAAGAGAAAAGTTTTTTCCCCCAGGGAAGAAAGAAAAGTTTCTACCTCATGGACAGTTAAATGTTCTCCCCACTGTGCAATGACAACTATGTGCAATGTCTCTTATATCTATTTCTTATTCCAAGTATTTACCTCTTCTTATTCCATTCCCTGTTAATTCTATAAAATTTGTTTATTTTTTATTTTACTATCTGTATATCTATATGTTGTTGTCTCTGTTTACTGGAAGCTTCTTCTGTCACCAAAACAAAGTCCTTGTGTGTGCAAACATGCTTGGCAATGAAGCTCTTTCTGATTCTGTGTCCATGCCTTTTCATCACTAAAGTAGTTAAGGGCTTGCGCTGGCACAAGCTGTTAGAAAATCTGGCCCTTGTTTTTTTTTGTGTTTTTTTTTTACAATTAATCATACTAAATATGTGCATTAAATCAAATGTGTCAAGCTCCAAAACACCTCACTAAAAGTTTCTAGTAATCCTAAAGACCTTGATTAGTTAGTTCAGGTGTGTTTAATTATGGTTGGAACTGAACTCTGCAGGACAGTTGTAGCCCTCCAGGAACTAAGTTTGACATCCCTGCATTAAATCGGCAGGCCTAATGCAAAATAACGTACTTCTAGTTTATTCTTTAGATATGAGTAGATGCCCTGGCATCCATTGAGCTAGAGCGAGACAGGTAGCGACTGATCGTTCGGCCATCTTCTCCAATTGCATTCTCGATCTTTGATAAGATGGAGCTCCTGAACTTCTTCCTGAAGTCATTGCCCATGAAGACGTACAAAACAGGGTTTAGGAAGCTGTTAGCGGCAGCAACAGTGGTGCCAATGGTCAGTCCGAGAGCAATGACCTCAGTGTTGAAGGTTTCGTTTTGTTCGATTAGCACAAATGTGTGGTACGGCAGCCAGCACAGGAAGAAGGTAAGAATGAGAGCCGTCATAATCTTAAACGGTTTGTTGGACTTTGCCATCTGGGTGGCTCTCAGTCTGAGGATGATGACAGAATAACAAAAGATAATGAGGATAAAAGGCATCACAAATCCAAAAACAAAGCGACTTGTTGCAATGATTTTGTGGCTATACTGGCTGGACGTGTAGTTGTTCATGCATCGGTTTGTGCCTAGGTGATTCTGGACATCACGGAATACAATAGATGGGATACTTAAAGCTGCAGAGATGATCCATGCGAGCACAATTAACACAGAGGCTTTTCCGATAGTGCGATGATTCTGTGCCCAAACAGGAAACATGACAGCGATGCAGCGATCCATGCTGATGATGACGAGGAGGAAGATGCTGCTGAACATGTTGAGGAACATGACAAAGGACGTGAACTTGCACATGAAGAGGCCAAAGATCCAGTCCGCGGTGACGCTGTAGGCAATGTTAAAAGGCAAACAGGCACAGAATATAAAGTCAGATAGAGCCAGGCTCAAGTACCAGGTAGTATTGACTGACTTCTTCATGCCAAACCCTGCAATCCAGATAACCACCGCATTTCCTCCAAGGCCCAGCAAACAGATGATCACATTGATCACCAGCAACACCAGGCAAAGAACTTGAGTGAAACATTTGGTGTGGACTGTCGTGTGGGAAGTAACTCCATCGTAAGTTATATTACTGGAGTTATAATCTATGTAATTATCATAATCCAAAGTTGAATCATAGTTAAATTGAAAATCTGTTGAATCCATTGTAATTTACGTTAATACCCTGAAAGCAGACAACAAAAGATATTTTGTTAGTTAAATTGTTCTTCAAGTATTAATATCAGTAATATCACAGTCACTGCTCCCATATTAATATTGATCAGCAATGTCATTTCAACCTAAAAGTTCAATGTAATTTAATGAAAATTCATTTTGTGACCTTTTAAAAAATAATATAAGTTAGATTAGCAACAAATGATTTGAGAGAAAATTATAACTAAATAAATGAAGTAAAATATTAGTTAAAAAACCCTTGTCATTATGTAAATCAAAATAGATTCAATATTATATAATATATAAATATTATAATAATTATAAGTAGCCTACCTCAGTGGACAGAAACGTTCAAAGGTAAACACTTCACTTCAAAAATGGTTTGGAGTAAATATTCACAAGTCTCGTAAATAACCAGCTTTCTCTCACCTCACCCAAGAAACGGTGTCTCCAGCATTACCTCACCAGCACCTACTTGACATCTGACAACTGTGTCGCTTTTGCATTTATAAAGTACTGCTGTCCTATCCTTCTCTTGAGCAATATTTTGCATGACTGCACATGCTGTACTTCCACAAAACACTTCCAAAAAACAAAAAACTGTTTTTGTTTTCCTCATCAACAAGATCCCCTACTTTCACTTCTTGATTTTGTTCTTCTAGTTTTGCAGAAACAGATTCATAAAAGCGTTGGCCAGTCTACAGTGATCTGACGTAATTCAGTGATGAGATCACCCTGGTCACAGCCTGTAAAGACATAAATAGTCATTTAATTTAAATAGCCACATACCTCCATTGTCATAATAGAAGTTCCTTTTCGAGAACAGTCACTTCGTATTGCGTAGCTAAAATGCAGTGGGGAAACTCATTTTCCTCGAAATATTGAAGCAATAATTTAAAACGCAGTGCAGCTGCACAGTGAAACACAGCAGAGCGTCTAGCTCGCTCATTGGCTGTGCTGTGGCAACTGCATATACAATGGCCCCGCGCCTCAGACGCGCAACCCAACCAAATGACTTGGCGCTGAATAAGTCAGAGCGCACCTAAATGAGCGTGGCCTAAGCCTATAAAGATCTCTCATTTCGACCAAAATATCAGATTTACTCAACTTCAGCGACACTTCATGTCTCTGAGTCCTCACTCAGCACTGCGGGTGCGGTTAGCTCTCTTTCAAGATGGCGACACCACTCTTCCTAATCTTCCTTTCCTGGCGCTACTTCAGCCGCGGTAAAAGATAGCGAGCCCACGCCGGCCATGTCCCCGTGTGCCTCGCTTTCTCCGTCACAATCTTCTCCAGTCCTGTTGACTCAGGCAGACCAGCACCCCTTCTCTTATGCGACGGGCCTCATCTCCCTCGGCGGATCGGATGAAGAGCATGACAGCCTCTCCATTGCTGCGTCTGAGGAGGAATGGTCGGAGGGCTCGGTGGACCCCGCCCTCTCACAGTTCTGTGCTAGCGCTACAGCTAACGTGACCAGGATTGCCGAGGAGCCGCCCAGGAGTCGGCTGGATGGATGGTTTCTGTCAGGGCACCAGCCCTCCGCCACAAACCAGCGCCCTCCTTCCCTGAAGTTCACGACGAACTCGCAAAGTCATGGCGCGGCCATACTCAGCTTGCACGAGCGCTTCCACTTCCGCTACGCTCTCCTCTGTCGACAGCGCAGCGGGAAAAGGATATGAGAAATTGCCGCCGCTCGAGGAAGCAGTCGCCGCCCATCTGAGTCCACCCACTGCTGCTGGCTGGAGATCAAGAGCGGTGCACCCCTTGAAGCCCTGCCGAAACCTCGTCGTGCTCGAGCGCCACCTCTGGTTGAACCTCACAGACATCAAGGAGGCGGACAGAACGGCGCTCCTTGACTCTCCTATCTCCAGCACCGGTCTCTTTGGCCCGGGGATGAAAGGGTTTTCTGAGAGGTTTACTGAGGCACAGAAAACTTCTCAAGCTATGAGACACTTCCTGCCTAAACGCTCCAGTTCTGCTTCGAGTCGCCACAAGAGAATGTCGCCTCCACAGCCAGCGAAACTAGCACCTCAGGTCTCCCAGTCCCGCCCTGCGGCTGATACCCGAAGTTGCTCAAGATCAACTAAACGCAACCCACTGGCCCGGCGCCAGGGCCCCCGACCCTATTGTGTTGGACCATGAGCCGCCGAAGTCCTCCTAGCTGCGGGAAAAAAGAGAGAGGGTCTGAGTCTCGCACTAGTTGGACCACCCTCAAAAAGAGCTTGTCTAAAACTCACAGCTCCCTGTTCAGCTCAGGCGGCTGGAGTTTTTCATACTGTAGTCAATGGGCCCGTTGCGCTGCACGCTCCCCTACAAACAAACGCTGTTTTTACAGCGACCCAAATAAAGCACAAAAAGAGTATGTTTCAAACACACAACACCCAGGTATTAGGTCACAATTCATTAGTCCTGCCATTCGGTCTGTCACTAGCACCCCGTATATTTACAAAGTGCATGGATGCAGCGCTTTCTCCCCTGAGGCAACAGGGAGTGCGCCTGCTGAATTATCTTGACAATTTGCTCGTTATGTCTCAGTCGAGGACCGAATTATTGACACACAGATCCATGATACTCAGCCATTTGGAATGTCTTGGTCTCAGTATCAATTATTCCAAGAGCAAACTGTTACCCAGCCAGAATGTAATCTTTTTGGCCACAGTTATCGACTCCGTAATGATGGGAGTGCAGCTCACACCAGAGCGCGCTCTCTCTATCCAACAGCTGATAGCCTCCTTCAGGGTAGGTGCGCACGTGCCGCCACATCGTCAGTACTCCGAATAGGGTTACTGCATATGCGCCTGCACATTATGGTGAACCAGCACTGTGTGAGAGCTCTGGTCCATTGGAAAGCCCAGAACTGGTACCAGTCGGGTGTAATTATGGGTGTGGCCCAGTGGTGGCTGCTGGTCTTTCAAAGAGGGGAAGCTCTTTTTTTTTTTTAAACTCAACTGTCAGGTGGTTTAAACTGGGGATGGTGAAAGGAGCGAAGACTCGGGTGCAGAGTTGAAGGGCTTTATTTTAATAATAAAACAAAATACAAACAAAAACTACAAACCAGCACAGGACTGCAAACACAAGGAGAATAAATAGGGAGAAAACAAGGCAGGTAACGAGGGAGGACAGGTGGGGCAAAAGAACCAATAATCAGAAAACAAGATGGGAGACACAATCGACAGGAGAGCACATGGCACAAGGAAACACACATGACAAGCCATGTTCTCACAACAAACATGATAAAAAAACAAGCATATTGCCAGTTAAACAAATCACAAGCAATGTGCTCACACAAAATGAGACATGAAGAGCAATGAGAACACTCATAAACCACTTGTTCACACAGAACATGACAAAATGAAAGCACACAGCTAGTGTAAAACACAAGCTGTGTGCTACACAGCACAAGACATGAAAGCACGAGGCCCATGTATACACGAACCGCGTGCTACACACAACACACGCGAACAGAGCGAAGACGAAACCCCGCGCTCACACGGCAAGACAGAACGTCAAGGTTACTGCAGTTTGGGAACAGTAAAAAACACCTCAGCGAGACTTCCGGTATGGCGTCGAGGCGAGTGGCAGTGTAGAACGCGAGCTCCCAGACAAGTCGGTTATACTCCCCTGCTTTATTTAACTTTACGCCGTGTAATTGATGAACAAATATGGAGGGGGAGAAACAACGAAAAGCTAGAAGCAAATCAACTCAAAGACCTGAGAAAAACGAGAGACAAACAAAGGAGAATGATGACGATGACAACGCTGGCGAGAACGAGGCCGCGGATACAATGCAAGCTTGCATCAGCGCTATATATTCTGAAATTAAGGCACTCCGATCTGACGTGAACACCGAACTAAACAACTTTCAAGAGACTCTCTCCAGAGACTGGAAAGCAGACTTGGCAAGCCTGAGTACCAACATCAACCTTAAACTGAACGAAATTGCCAAAGATTTGAAAGACAAGGTGAATAGAGTGGAGGAGGAGTGGAAGAGTGGAACGCGGAGGCTAGAGAGGTGCTAAGCCAAACCCTCGTTTGGCTTAGCAAAAAACAAAAAATGCAAATAAAACTGACAGATCTTGAAGCAAGATCACGACGAAACAATATACGCTTGTACGGGATACCGGAAGAGGCCGGAGATGACAACATACAGGAGGTTGTTGAAAATTTCATCAAGACAGAATTGTCCCTCCCCGATACTGAACTTGGGATTCAGCGTTGTCACAGAGCGCTCGGCCCTAAACCACCACCAAATGCGAATCCCCGATCGGTTGTTTTGTATTTTCTTGAATATAGGATTAAAGAGATAGTCCTTCGGTCGGCATGGAAAAAGAGGGAAGTTTACCTGAAAGGGAGACGAGTGTACTTCGACCAGGATTACCCGGCTGAAACTCAAAAGAAGAGGAAGGCATACACTCCTATCAGGAAATTACTCAAAGAGAAGGGTCTCCGTTTTCAGACACCACCCCCCCGCTTAACTTCGGGTATTTTTTGAAGATGGTTCCATTGTTTATAACAGCGCAACGGAGGCATTGGAGGACCTAAAAAAGAAAGGATTGACCACGGCCAACATCAGAGATGAAGACACTGCCGCATCAACTTCATTGGAGAGGGTGAGTAAAATTTCTTGGGAAATAGCGGGCGCGAAACCACGACACAACCGAGATGGCCATCAAGAGAGGGCACGGAAAAGACTCCAGGATTTCCGCCGGGACACAGGAAAAACGGTTTGACTCTAACTCAGGGTAAATTATCAGTAAAACCGTGACGTCCAAAATCAGCTAAAACAGCAGTTTCATATAACAAGGGTAATGTTAATTTTGCATGCAAGAATTCTGGTATATCTGTGCATGTTCATGCTCAGAGCCTTGTTTTTGGCGTTTTATTATTAGTTGAATTTACGCTATAGCTTGAAAGACCTGTTAAAATGAATAACGTTACAACGTAAATGTCTGGGAGCTGAGGAAAAGACGTGCTCTGATTTATAATATCAGTTTGCACGGGGAAGGCCCTTCGTTAATCGAAGTTTTTCCTTTCCAAATAGAAGTAACTTTGATTATGGAAGTTGTTGTTTCCTCTGATTGTACACTCTTTTATTTTTTCACTTTTTTGTTCTGTGTTATTTGTGTTACAATGTTAAGGTCACTTGGGATTTTTAATAGGATAGTACATCAGAAGTTAAATGTCACAACAAGAATGTAGAATTATTACACTTAACGTTAATGGGTTGCAAAATCCTATTAAACGAAGTAAACTTATAGCTAAGATGAAAAGAGAGAACCAACATATTATTTTTTGGCAGGAGACTCATCTAGTACAAACTGAACATGAAAAACTGAAAAAGTTAGGATTTAGAAACACTTTTTATTCATCGTACACTAAAGGACATGCAAGAGGTGTTGCAATACTGATATCGAATAAGGTGACTTTCCAGGTCTCCAGCCAAATAGCTGATAAAGAAGGACGTTATATTTTGGTGAAAGGGATCCTTGATTCAAAGG